GTAATTAGTTCACTTCTGACTTCAGTTCAGTGAAAACTTCTGTTATACATCGGCTCGACAATTGTGAAGAAGCAATCACAAGAATTGACGAGAGTGAACCCAGACCAAATAAATTTTCAATAAATGTGGAACTAACATCGACTTTTTTACTCTACTGAGGTTTGGTCCATCAACATCACCGAATTTTAAATCGCTCAATTATCAAGAGAACTGGCCGATCTGCACCACTGACATATAAAGAAGATAAAAACTAAGTTTTTTCAGTGAATGCATTAGTTGTTAGTTTCTTTATTTCCTAACAAATATCACATTTGCGGGTAAAACAAGTTATCATCAATCATCATCAGCATGAATAAAAAGTGTTGTACTTGTAAAATAATACGGTGGTGGGATAATACCAAGACAATGGTTTAAATTTTAATTTATATCGAGCTTTATAACAGGCTTTTAAACGACTTCTCTTTAATTACATGTAACCTTGAAATTCAAAAAAAAGATTGTTAACAATAAAGCTTGAATTAAAAAGTTGTCTCCATTATATTGATATTTTCGCCTACCACTGCATCTCATTTTATATTATTTATTTGATTTTCACATCACAATTTAATTATAGGTATATTATAAATTTAATATCAAATGCATGGTATTTCATGTTATTAAGTATGGAGTATTTCAATGAATTTTTATATTTCTGTATGTTGTAATTTTTTTCCTCAGTACAATAAGTATAAATAATCTTTTCTACGGTAAATGCGCACAAACTGCATGTGAACAAGGGTGGGGCTGTAGGGAGAGGGGGGGGGGACAGGAGAATGCCAAATGCTATTTTGTACTGTTTACGTATTTATTCAATAAATCTTATTTAATTACCAATTTGTTTTTTTCTGTTAGTGTTTTATTTAATTAACTTAATATATGTGTATAATTAATGTGGAAGTTTTTTAAAATTATTCAAAAATTCGGATTAGTTTATCCAGGAATTAAAATTATAATTCGAGAGCTGCCGCATTTGGCCGCTAGGTGGTGTCTACTCTAAAACAGAGGCGGCGCGAATATGTATCCTGAAATTGAGATATTTGTATCCACTTTTTCTTAATAATAATGACTTGCATTATTAAGAGTTTTAAAAATATTGTTCTGCATTCCGTTTTTCTTATAAAAATAATAAAAAATGTGTATTTTTTTTTATTTCCGCCGTTTTCAAAATATTCAAAATTCAGGGATAATTTATTAAGAAAAACCTCTGTGATTCGCTTTTCCAAAAATTCTTATTTCTTTATTACGTTTTAATATTTACAGTGCAGTTTTTTATAAAAACTTCAGTTTTCGTTTTCAACCATTATTTTTTTTTATTAAAAACTGCTTATCCCTTTTATTAATGATTTTAAAATTAAAGGGTTAAAGAATTCTTCCTTTAATTTACTAAAATCTCTGTTTTGTTAACTGAACTTCACCCATCCCTACCCATAAGTTTACTCTGCTCCTAATGCTATTCCTACAATGTAATGTTAATTCCTGCTAACCTGTCATTAGATTTGGCATTAAGAATAGATTTGTACCAAAATTGCATTGCTTTGTTGTATTTGGACTTTTTATAAAAAAATACTTTTATTATTAAATTGTGTTTTAAAATCATTTCTTATATTTGTTTATGAGATTATGTCATGTGGAGTACATTTGGTCTCCAAAAACAAATCAGAAGCAAATAGTATGTATCTTAACATTGAGAAGAACACTTTCATACTTTCTTTTGATTATGTAATCACATTAATTTTTGTTATGAAAAATATGAGAACAAATAGTATTCATCTTAACATTGAGAAGAACACTTTCATACTTTTGATTATGTAATCACATTAATTTTTGTTATGAAAAATATGAGAACAAATAGTATGTATCATAACATTGAGAAGAACACTTTCATACTTTCTTTTGATTATGTAATCACATTAATTTTTGTGATGAAAAATATGAGAACAAATGTTATTTCTGCGACTAATCTAAATATTTTTCATTGAAGATATTGTTTTGCAATCTCTTTAATAGTATGTATCTTAACATTGAGAAGAACACTTTCATACTTTTGATTATGTAATCACATTAATTTTTGTGATGAAAAATATGAGAACAAATGTTATTTCTGCGACTAAACTGAATATTTTTCATTGAAGATATTGTTTTGTAATCTCTTTAATAGTATGTATCTTAACATTGAGAAGAACACTTTAATACTTTTGATTATGTAATCACATTAATTTTTGTGATGAAAAATATGAGAACAAATAGTATGTATCTTAACATTGAGAAGAACACTTTCATACTTTTGATTATGTAATCACATTAATTTTTGTTATGAAAAATATGAGAACAAATAGTATTCATCTTAACATTGAGAAGAACACTTTCATACTTTCTTTTGATTATGTAATCACATTAATTTTTGTGATGAAAAATATGAGAACAAATAGTATTTCTGCGACTAATCTGAATATTTTTTTTCTGGAAGAAATTGTTTTGTAATTTCTTGAATTTGTTGCTTGTGTTTGACAAGATATAACTTTGCGTAAATTTCCATGCTTGATTGTACACAAATAAGATGAAATAACTTTCTATATATGTCTTCTTGTGATGTTAATCATATTATATATTATATTTAAATCAATAATACAGATAACTAATAATATGTGATTCTAATTATTTCCATTTTCATCAGACGTCAGACTGTAACAATAACTTACCCCTTAATCTGTTTATTTTTAAAGGAATAAATAGCTCTCAAAGATCCAGATTCCAGATAACTATGAAGATTGAAGATTATGCATAGAAGCCTAGATGACTTACTAACCCACTTACATTTTTGCAGCCCTGGACATGAACATCACAAGTATTTGTTTCTGAATTATTTGATTAAAATACCAATAAATATAGAAAACTTGGCAGTAGGGCTGTGCATGTTCTGACTTTTTTTGAAATTGTTTTGTTCTGTTCTAGAACAGGGGCCTTATTGTTTGTTCCTTGTTTGTTCTTTTTCCAATCATTCCATCCACATCCTGTTCTGTCTGTTCCATTCCATCCACGTTCCATGTCATGGAAAATTTTTTGGTTAAAATTGTAAGGTTCATTTAATCAAAATTAGATATTTTGCTACAGTGAAAACCAGAAAACTATGATACAGAAAGACAACATCTTAGTGATATTTACAAGTCGAACAAAATTAATTAGTAACTTATTAAATCACTTATCCAGTTACATTGGTCTGCTTGAGTCTAAACTGTCGTCTTCCTTTGCCAGATTTTTCTGGTTATCCTGTTGCAAATGAAAATTATTAACAAAATATTAAGTTTAAATTCAATTTTCTCAGCATTTGAGACTGAAATGTTAGTGAAGTTCAGTTTATGTTATGCCACTGCCAAAGTTTAAATTGAATATTTTGTTGTTGAAAGGAATTGTGCAATAATTTATTGCGTGCCATAAGGTTTAAATTGAATTTTATCAAAAAATTGAAACACAACGGAATTCCTTTGCGTTTATTTGCGAGCAATTATTACGGAATTGCGAGCAAGTAAAATCCACTTGCGTTGGAAACACTACTAGTCGCCGTAAAAAGATTTTAATCTAAATTGCCGTTCTAGCCTTCAAAATGGACACAGTCCTTTTTCTAAAAATTTTCAAAAAAATTTTTAAATCATTTTTTGTCTTTTAGTTTTAAAAAACCTCAATTCTATCAGTAAAATTGGGCAATTTTTTCTATTCTGTCGTATAAAGGTAAAGTAAAGTTATAAATTGAAATTCTCAAAAAATCTTTGAAAAGGAGACTGAAGAACTTTGAGGATGAAAATACAAACTGTTTCTTCCGATATGAAATCAAAACGGATGATAAAAAACGAGGGCCCGCTAAAAAGCGCGCTCTTTTGTCAAATCTTAGCCAGTTTAATTCATTTCTTCAAGGTGTAAGTACGCTGCTCAATTTGTTCAGAAAGTTTCTACATGATGAGATCTGCATGACCTGTATAACAATTGCGAAATTGTTTAAGTCATGGAATGCTCTTTATATGGATAATAATAAAGAATTTTCCATGATTTAGCTGATTAGCATTAATCATCAATCTTCAACTTCAACCCTCAAAACAGTCAACAATTCAGTCATTAATCCAATAAAAAATATATACGAATGATTTTTTTATATATTTATATTGAATTTGCTTAACTATTAACTTCACTGTTCCTTTATATTAAAGAATCTTTTACATCTAATTGGTTAGATTTCTTCGTTTCTATGTGTGCTAAATGACCTTTTATATCTGTTAAATTATCGATTATTTGTATTTTCGTTCACCAATGTTCAGTTAACTTCTTGCATTAAATTCATAACTTTTATTCGTTCAGTACCTTGTATTATGACTCATAGCTCTATATTCAATTCTAGGTTTGTTCTCTCCCTGTTCAGTCCTTGTGTTCATGTTGCTGCGATCCAACCTTTGTATAAGAATTCTTAAATTATCTTAATAACCCTAGAATTTGGATAAATTATTCCTTTAATTAAAAATTAATTTTTTTAAAAATAACCTAATAATCCGATTAATAAACGGAACAATTGAGTATTCTTGTTTATTCCTTTCCTTTTAAAAAGTTTAAAACTAGGCACCTTTCGTTTACATTCTTCGATTCTTTAGAGATTTCATCCCTCCTCGGGTTGGTTTGGAATGTTTTAGACAACATGCCGTATCTGTCTCTCCTTATTTCTTGATGAAAGAAAGAACAATTCCTCCCATTCTTACAATTACCTTGCAAATAAAATTTGCAATGCTTGCTCATCTTTCTGAAACAGAAACTGATTATAATTCATCTGGTTGAAATTAATAACGATAATAAATTTAATCTAATCACATATTTAAATATCATTCAATTATGTATTTCATTTTAATGGAGATGTGTTTCTTTAAAAATTTTCACTTTTTTGATACTATCTAATTCCATTTTAATAACTTATTGATTTCCATTCTTTTCTTTTCACTTATTTTTCAACTTTCTCGCATAGATCTTGAATTATTTCCAGAGTTATTTCTTATTAAAAACACATATTAACTTATTTTCCCAGTTATCTTCTAGATTCCCATTACTCTCTTTTTCCTTAGTCTTGAAATTTACAGCAAATCCCGAATTATTTTCTTGATTTTGTCCAAATCAATACACTCATTAATTTGTTTTTTAAACTTTAGATATAGCATCAATTTTCGTTATGACTCCTTCTTGATTTCTTCATTTTACTTTGTCTTAAGTATGTCACATTTTATATTATTTCTTCACTTTGCTGTCCAGTTTTGTTCTTTGACCAAGATGTGTCCACCCACCAAAACACGAGAAGTGGTCCCTCTTTAGCATTCCTATTAATTGAGTTGTAAGTGAAGACATTCCGAAAAATGCTTCTCCGCAGAATTTCTTCTGGAAGTTTTTGTAGCTTAAGACTTCCACTTCCTGTACATCCTTGAAATCATCTCTGGATTGTTCGGTAGGTTGACCCATCCATTGTCTCGAAACAAAACCTTTTAGCTTAGTTTTGTTATTACCAGGCTTATTTTGATTAAGTATGAACTTGAAGTTACTCTGATAATTACCTAAAATGGCCATCCTAGAGTCTGAGTGCTTATAATTGAAATTATCATTTAAAGCCTTTGTCAAGGTAGAAATTTTGTAAAAATTTAATTGTTAATATTAAAATTAAGGAGTTTTGGTTAAGAATACAAATAAAATAAACTATAAATGCCATCAGGTTTCCTTGATTTGCAGTTTTCTGAAATAAAGAAAAATTATTCAGACGCGGTTTTCTATTTTTTACAATTTAAAATAAACAAACATCCGAAATAAAAATAATTAAAAACCAAATGTAGTAAAATCTCATTAGTCTTTGATGTTAGCAAATAGTTTATTATGTGTTCTCTATAAAGGAGCACCGGCTCCATGATTGAGTTTTCAGACAGGACGTTCATCCTGCCCGAAAAAAGCATGGGTCCGGTGCTCCTTGAACACCAGACCCACGCCGAGTAACCATTTGCTTTCATCTCCGACTTTTCTGGCCCAATGAAACTTAATAAAAATTTGAAAAATTAAATATTAAATATTTATAATAATGATAATTTAGATCCTTGTGTGTTATCATATGGACGTCATTTTACATTTTTCTTAAATAATTAGAATTATGGTTTAAAAGTTTAACTTGTTTCTCATCTTTTTAATAGTAAATATATATTGCTCTAATTTCTTTCCCGGGACATCTGTTGGTAGGTAGTGGGTATCTTTGTTTAATATTGATTTTCTGAATATCTGTTTAATGTAGATGTGTCTATTGCTCACTTTGTCAAACACTGTTGTTCCAATGAACCTTTTAACTTTCGTATCTTTACTTTTTTTATCTGGATGTTCTAATTCTTTTATTAGTTCTTGTGGGAATCCTTTCACTTGTAAGATTGCTTTAACTATGTTGCTTTGGTTTATATATTCTTCATTTGAGCATGTATGAGTTTTTATTGTTCGAAAATATCCTAAACCTGCCATTTTTTTATATTTCATACTGACGTTGGAGTTAAAGGGAATTATATCAAATTTAGATTTATCCTTTCTAAGGACAGTCGTTGTTGGAAAATTATTCCCTGGTAAATTAAATATCTTGATGTTCAGAAATTTTCCGTATATTAATTTGGTTTCAACGTTGAATTGTATGCAATTTGGGTAACCAGTTGTTATTATTTTTAATACTTTAAGCATTTGATTTATTTCTCCTGTTAAGTGTACGGATACGTCATCTCTAAATCTTAGAAATCTTGAAACGTTTTTTTCTAGTTTTAACCCATGGATTTTTTTGAAAATTTTCAATTCATAAATTCTAAGAATAATCTCACTTCCTCGAGCAGCGGAATTATCCCCCATGGAAAACCCTTTTAGAGTTTTAAAAATTCCTTTGGGTTGTTTAAAGTAAGAGTGGGTCATAGATACTTCCATTAAGTTTAAGATATATATTATGGATTCTGGTTCAAGTTTGCAAATATTCCCTGCTGTTTTTAAACAGCTTTTTAGTAGATCTTTATTGCAATTTGAGTACAGATCCCCGAAATCGCCTTCTATTTCTATTGATTTTCCCCATTCCCCAGTTTGTGAACTTTTTACTCTGGCAATTGCTTCATCTATTCCAGTAACAGATGGAGAGAGTTTTCCAAATAATCTTGTAAATTCGATTTCGATATAGTATAGTAAGTGGCTGTATACTTTATCTAGTACTTTTTGGATTAAGTTTATGGGATCATTCATAGAGCTTTTAATTCCCCTACAAGTTAGATTTGAAACATTTGATTTATTTATTATTTTAAGTTTCTGGATTTTTGGCATAAGTCTTAAGGTCCCTATTTCTTGGTTTTTTCCCGACCAGATAAAATCTGATTTTTTTATAATTTCTGTAAGTTCGGTAGGAATGTGTTCGCTTGCTTCTTTTAGGAAAAAATTTATATTTCTTAAATACCATTCTTCCCTAATGTTAATCTTACCAAAATGTTGTTTTTCGTTGATATCTTCATACTGCTGTAGTAGATCCTCTGTATCAATACATACATATCCCATGTTCTTGTCCGCAGCAACTAAAATTTGATCCTTATTGAGGTTGAAAATTTGTTCTAAATCCGTTGTCGGTTTTTCTGTCTTTTGTTTATGTTTTATCTTTCTTAAGTGTTTTTGGAAATTCTGTGTTTCTGTTTTGCATCTTTTTTCTATCGATAACAAAAGTTCACATAAATGTCGATTTTTCCGAATTAAAGCGGTTTTTTTGAGTTTCCGTATCTTAATAAATAAATTTTGAGTTTTAATGTTTTTTGCTTCCTTCCCAAAAATATTGTTCAAAATCATGATTATTTCCTCTTCAAAATTGCGTAGTTCTTTCTTAATATTGATTGGGCAAAATGGTGTGAATTTTTTTCCTTTTTTCAAGTTGTAGATTACTTCTGGATCTATTGGGTTTCCGGACAAGTTAAAAAAGTTTTCTCCTTTTAGGTTTACCATAATATCTTCTAATTCAGTTTTTGCTAGTTTAGACATAATCCCTTTAATTTTTGTTATTAAGCCATTTTCTATTGGTTTTACTAGTGTGATCAAGTTTTCATTTAGAGCCTTAGTTACTATGTGCATTTTTACATTATCATTTATTTCCTTTGCTTTAACAGCTATATTTAATTTTTCTAAGTTCCTTTTAATTTCCGATTTAAAGATTATCCATTCATTTTTAAAGTTTTCACCTGAAGAAATAAATAATGTATTTCTTCCATTTATACAGTTTTCTGTTAATCCACCGATAGATGATACTAGTTTTATTAAATTCTCACTTACTAGTTTAATCGATTTGCTAATGTCTAGCGTAATCATGTTTAAAGATGCCATTATTGTCCAGATACATTTTAATATAGGATGCATTTTCCTGAAAAAATGAATTAATGAAAAAATGAAAATTTAGCCAGCACTTGCATAAAATAAAAATAAGTTTATTGACAAATTTATAATTATTAAAAAGTTTTTAACGAGAATGATGTAGAAAATCGATGGTTTTTGATTTGATTACAGTTTTTCACAGCTTGAATTTAAGTTTAACGGAAAAGTAATTCATCAATTTTAAAACATAACAGTATTGATTTGTTTATATTTTTGCACAGCTTGAATTTAAATGTAACGAAAAAATAACTCAACAATTTTTAAAACATAACAGTATTTTTACAATATTTTGTTTTTTTTTGATTTTTTATATATTTTTTGATTTTTTTGTTTTTCATAAGTTTAGGTTTAATCAAGATTAATTAAACTTTTGAAAATTTCCTGTTTTTTCCAAAAAAAGAAAGAAAACATTTAATGTTTTTAAACTACATGATAATAAGTATACGAACGTACAATCCAAAAAAACTTTTTTAACAAACTTTATTTGGGGATGTAAATAATCAATGGATATCGAGATATAGATTTTTTCTGAACTGAACTTTTTTAACAAACTTTATTTAGGGATGTAAATAATCAATGGATATCGAGATAGAGATTTTTTCTGAACTGAACTTTTAACTTGAATTTACTTTTTCTCCATCGCTGACGTTGATCAATAGAGCATCTTCTTCATTGGAAGTACTGCTTTCGTTGGCACTTTTATTTGCTATGATTCCGTACTCTGTTATCTTTTTCTGTGTGTGATCTAGCTTTCCTTTCATTCTGGCGTTATGCTCTTTTTTCTTCTTAAGAATTTTGCTTCCTTTCCTTGGAGCAGTTTGAAATTTGTCGGCAAACTTTTCCAGATCTTCAGATTTCGAGTCTTCTGAATCAAGATATTGTCTGGATCGTCTGATTTTATCAAACTTGTTGCATGAACTAGAAAGGTAAATGGCCCAATCATTGGTGTATTTAAACTTAGACGAGTACTTTTCCTTGATTTTGAAGTCACCCCAGAATAAGTAATATTCTTCGGGTTGAAGTTTCTTGGCGATTTCTCTTATTTCTTCTTCTGTTCCGAACACCCAGCATTGAACCAATTCTCCTTCCATTCCAAGAATAAAATGTAGGTTCCATTTTTTAGGATCGTTATTTTGTCTTGGTTCATTTATATCTACCACTTGTCCGTAAACAGGTCGTTTGGTTCTTTTTCCTAGTAGCGCTACACTTTCTGGAATATCTTTTGATATGTTTCTTGACTCACTGTTTGTAAATCTTACGGGCCATGAAAGCATGATTTTATATTTCCTCCCATTTCTATCTCTTGTGATTTTGTCTCCTAACATTGAATCGGGATCACTATTATTTATGTTACTTTCTATCGGTTTATCCTTGGCTTTTGGTTCTGGTGGTGAGTAGTAAGGGGATGAGGAAGAAGAGGAAAAATAGTTTTCTGTTTTCCTGTTTTCATATTCCTTTTCTTGTCCATTTCTTTCTTCGGAAGCTTCTCGAGAACTGATGTCTGACAACACATCTTTACTAGTATTGTTTCCTGTTTCCTGAGAATTTATGACTTTCTCTTTTTCTCCTGTTGTTGAATTCTCTCTAGATTTTTTATTAGACTCGTCTCCAGTTTGTGAACCCTCTCTTGGTCTTTTTCTCTGTTCTTTGTTTTCATCTTTTTTAGGTTTTGATTCTTGATTAAAATCTCCTCCAATGTCAAATCCAACAGTTTCTTTTTCTCTTTGTATTTCTTCAATTTCTGGTTCGTCTAAATCTTGGTGTAGTCCTAATGAATCAATTATTCTACCACCATCAAAACTAAATCCTCCATAGACGTTTATTAGACCTTCTTGATTAGTTTTACCGTGATTTTTGCTGAATAAGAGCTAGAGAATCCAAATCTTATTTTAAGAAATTCAGGTGATGGTTCGATTCCGGGTTGACAGCATAAGAACTCTTGGTTTAGGATGGATTTTAAAACTCTTCTTGTGTTTAATTTGAACACAAACTCTTGTTTTTCCTTGTAAGTACGTCGAGGTTTGGAGTAGTATTCGTCAATTTCCTTGTTCCCTGTTTTTTCTCCTTTTTTAATAGAACATACTGCACACTTAAAATTCTCCGTTACTTTTTTCCCATAGCAGATGGCATGCGCGAATTCTCTACATTCTTGGCATTTGAGCATGTCTGGTTCGTATGTTTGATATCGGCAAAGGCAGTTTATAACTCCAGATTTAAACTTTTCTTGTGAATCTGACCCGGATGATGAGTAAGTTTCTGGTTTTTTCTTTGTTTGTTTTTTTCCTTTATCTTCGTTATTCCTGTTTATCTCTTGCTCTGTATTGGAGTTTTGTTCTTCTTGGGAATTAATTTTCTTCATGTTGTTTTTTTCTTCCATTGAAACCTCAATAACTGATGTTCTGTGTTCTTGCTTCTCTTTTAAGTCGCCGCTTTTTTGGTCCGTCCAGCTTATTCTCCTTATAGGTTTGGGATTTTCCTGTTGTTTATCCGTCGAGTGGTTCCTTATCCTGTTTACACCTTTTTCTTTCTCTCTGTCCTTGAATTCTCGCGTAAAACTTGAAGAACTTTCTCCTACACCGTATTTCCTTCTAAATATAAGATGCTTAGAGATTTATGTATTATTTTCCATTTTTAATTCACTGGTTTCAAATTTAAATTCTTTAAAGGTTCTTCCATTTTGAAACTTTTTACTATGTTGTCTTTGAAACTTTTTAGAAAATTTTAAGAAAATTTATGAAAATTTTTACAAAACTAGCTCAAAAACCTTTCCTCTGTTTATTAAAAACTCTTCTACCTTCCGCTTTTTGTTTTTACTGGGCTTGATGTACTACTGTAATGGCTGATTTCAGTTTCCCAGCCAGTATCAACCCGTCTATTCAAAAA